CATGTCACAGCTAAAATGTTATCATCACAGTGGTTTTATCACAAAAGTAAAACTAGAATTAAAGCTTTGTAATGGTTTGGTTTGTATGCCACCGCCCACCAGTCAAATTCACAAGCATGGGACAGAGGTGAGGTGACTGACCTTGACCTTTGACCACCAAAAACTAATCAATTCATCCTAAAGTCCAAGTGGGCATTTGTGCCAAATATTAAGAAATTCCCTTAAGGAGTTCCTGAGATATGAAGAATCATATGAACAGACGGACAAGCTGAAAACATAATGCCTCCAGCTGTGGCTATCACTGGTGGAGAAGCATAACAAGAAATAACAAACTGTGCAAATTTGTGCAATGTAATTACCAGTTGTGGCCACATTTTTGCAAATTTTGATTTAATAGCATCACATGTTGAAGCATTTTATTGTTTTGTTACAGTGAAACCTTCCTCCTTGAAGCCAAGGACACACTATATGATTTGAAGCCTTTCTATAGCCTCAATTAGTCATGACAAATGATTTTCAGAGTCTGAACTGATCTGGCAAAGGCAGGTCACCATAGACCATCGGAAGGTATTTAAATTCAGTGAAACCTTCGATGACTCCTCGGGCTTATTAAAAAACCATTTTAACATCCACAATCTACACATAATGGTCACAAAACAAACCACTTCTTAGCTCTAGCAGAGTTTACACCTTGGAAAAAATTATGGAAGCAAAAGATCGGCACACCAACAGCTCCTTTCTGTCAAAACTTTTAAAAGTGCAGCTTTAATTCTTTGGGGAAAGTTTTTTTTTAAAAGAATGACTTGGCTTTCATTTAGGTTTCCTCACTAATTCACTGACACTGTGCAGAATTACCAAACTTGTAAACTAGGCTGAATTTCCAGATCGTGCATTATCAAGAATCTCCACTTCAGTGGCCATGAGCAAAAACAGAAAGCGCACACATGCGCGCACACACACAAAGCAAAACTCCAAGGAACTGTATTTCAGCTGACTCTGCACTTTGAAAACACAGTGGAGAAGGAAAAAAAAACTCTCTGTGCATCAGATTTATATTTGCTCCTTTGAACAGGACACAAAAACAAGTTTCAGCATTTTAAGTCTAGACCTCACCCCTCTGAACAAGGCCAAGGACCCGTCTTTACCTCCTTAAACAGGACTAAAGGTTAGCAATTAGAAGTGTTAGTCGGAGATGATATCCAACTTAGGAGTCGTCATAGCAACAGTAAGAGTGATTCACTGAGCGTGTCAGTCTGTGAAGTAAATTTCACACCTCAGTGCACTGCAGCCTGTGAGACTTTGGGTGTGTGTGTGTTTGTGTGTGGAACAAAAATAAAACACCTACTGTGACATGATTCTCTATACAGTATATGTGTCTTTAAAACACACCAGCAGTGACTGTGGGACTGTGCTGCATTTCCTGGTGTTTTTGATGGTTGCTCTACATATGAAGACAAAAATCTATGCATTTATCTTAACACACTTGCATACTTGGAGCCATTTGTTACTGTATCATGCTGATCTGCGATAGATGTGGTGATGTGATGTTTGACAGCTGCCACCAGTAAATGTCTTTATCTCAGCGCCAATGCTTTTGTTAGAAAACACTCAAAGTGGACTTTAGGTTTGATTTCGATCTTTTCCTCCTCTTCTCTTTGTCCTCTCCTTTGCTACCTTCTTCTCATTGGTCTCACACTGGCACACTGCTCATTAGCTTTGTGTCAGTCTTGGTTTCTGTCTCCAACTGCTTCCTTTTTTCCTCACCATTTTATCTTTCTCCTGAGCTGTCGTCCAGTTTTCCCCCCCTCTTCCACTCCCTTCAATCTCTCCTTCGTTGTGTGTGAATTTAACAATAAGATTCTTCAAGGATCATCCTCTATTCTCATCACTCT